GGAGAATGGAAGAGAAGGGATTGTGGCGTGGCCATCCCCCTGGGGGTGATTTCTTGCTTTCTGTCTCTCTGTCTCTGTCTGCCTTTCTGGCGAGTGCACACGCCCTATAACAAAGACTCCAAATACATATATATATATATATATATATATACATATAAAGCTGTGGGCACGCCATCTGGTACACAGTTCACTCTCAAACCATGGCAAATCCCCGCTATTATCTTGCCTTTGTTATGAGAGGTCTCAGCCTTTCCTGCCCATTGGAGCTAAAAATGGCTTCAAGGAATCAGAATTTGACAGATTGTCAGAGTTCGGAATCTGGCTCCCTCACTGGCTAGGTGTACATACATGGATAATTTCTTGAGCTTTCGTTGCCTCAGCGTCTCATCTGTGAAATGGGGTGTGAGCAGAACCTCTCTCAAAGGACTGTAGTGGGGACGAAACTAGCTCAGAAACGCACAGCCCTTAAAGCACAGTTGGTGCACAGTAGGTCCTGAGGGTTTCTGGTTTCCACCAGCTGCGTAGGAAGTACCAGTGAGGACTTTCTGTTGCCAGATGAGGAGCCATGAGCTTGACGACGAGATGAAGGAGAAGGGTCCCTACCCCTCAAGGAGCCCCTCCCCCAAGTGAGGGACACAGACCCCCCAGAAATGCAGTTCTGGTAGTGAAGTGGCTGCTATGATGGCGGCCATGTCTCAAGCAGTCCAGCCCTCTCGATTCACAAGTGACCAAACTGAGACCCCTGGTCCCCTGAGCACAAGGAGTCACAGCATTTAGCAACAGAGCTGGGAAGGACTCAAAGTGATTTTTCATATCTGGGCCTTTTCCCATGAGGCCCTCTGAGGAGGCTGGTGATTTTGGAGGACAGCTGGGCTGTTCTGGGCAAAGGTACGGGCTTTAGGCCACCCGGTCAATAGCACCAGGTGGCCCAAAGCCCACATCTGGTCATGGGCCAGGTGTGGGCAGTGCTGTGGCTACTGTTTAACCAGACAAGGCGCTGCAGTCCATTGTGAAGTTAGGGACCCAGGGGAAGATCCCAGCCCCAGCCCAAGCAGGAACCCGCAATGCCAGCCTGCTGACCATGACAGGGGCTGGGGAAGGGCAGAGGAGGTAGATCCAGGCAGACCCTCAGCCTGGAGGAGGGCTATCCAGACACTCTGGGGACACAGAGCAGAGAGGGCCTAGGGTCTGGGGTCTGAGGAGGTAGAAGCACCACTAGTGAGGGACCCTTTCCAGTTCTGCAGAAGCAAATGCTCATCTCTTTGGTTAGAGCTGTCCAGAGGCAGAGAGAGGGGAGAAAGAGGAGTAGCGCTCCTGGGCACAGAGCATGTCCAGGTTCACAGCCCCGGAAAGGAGGTCTCAGAGTCACTTTCGGATAAGAAGGTCCAGAGAAGCTTGGCTCACGCTATCAACAGCTGGGTGTGGTGGATGGAGCTGACTCACTCTCAGGGCTGCCTGGCTCCAGAGCCAGTGCTGTGCCCACTGGGTCCCCTGACTCAGTTGGGAGGAAGCCGCAAGTGCCGATGGGTTTCACAGCTGGCCAGTGGTGGTGGGGTGAGGCTGGGGAAGACTTGAAACCTCTGATGGGGGTGGATTCTAGAGTCTTGAGTCTCTATGACTCTGTGGCCAGGAGTGGATGGGGGTGTTGCAGGGGTGGACAGGGTACAGGCTAGCCGCTTGCATGGGGAGTATATACAGATCTCTCTCTCTCTCTCTTTCTTGCCCTCCCTCCATCTCCCTCCCTCCATTCTCTCCTTTCTTCTTTCTTTTACTCATTCATTCAGCAAGCACTTACTTGGATTTATTTATTTATTTATTTATTTTTATTTTATTTATTCATTCATTTATTTTAATTTGACCAGAGAGTACTTGGATTTATTATGTACATTGTCTCAAGGATAGAGAATAGATGGGAGATGGTCAGAATTAGAAGTCAAATAAAACAAGTTTCTTTCTTTCCTTTTTTTTTCCCAAGAGAGAGATTTTTGCTACAGGGTGTGTGCACTCACCAGAGAGATATAAAGTGAGAAATCACCCCCCAGGGAGCATGGTCACGCAGCAATCCCTTCTCCTCTGTTCTCCTCTTGGGATCTTGGGCATATAGACACACATGGCTGGTGTGAGTGTTAAGCCGCTGAGTTTGGGACACGAACTATGGTTGACTATGTGGGAATCCAGCAATGTAACCATTCCACCATCTGCTGGTCCCAGGATAAAACAAGCATCTAGAAGCCCACAGCCTGAGTGGGAGATTAGATGGGAAGACAACACCTATAGCATGAAGTGGAAGCCATGAGTGCTAGAGAACTTGGGAGGCTAAGATGGGATGAGGCAGGATGGGGAAGGGGAGAGGAAGACTCTGGACCAGCGAAGTGAGCAAAGAGGCTGTGGCCACAGTTCTGGAGAAGGGTGATAAGACCTGGGCTAGATGTTCAGAATGACCTATTGGCTATTTACACACCTGGGCAAGTCATGGTATTTAGGAACCTGTTTTGCAAAAACACATAC